AAGCAGCAAAATACAGGCAAGGTGTAGATTTGTTCAGAAGACCCTAGTAAAGCAGATATACCTAAGTTAATCAGTTCCTTGCAGGAGTAAATGCTCTCGAGTATATATTTGGGGAAGTGAGAGTGTATGTTTTGAATGAATGCTTATAAAAGCAAAAGCAAGAAAATTAGGTGATTTTTTTTTTTTTTTTCTGGAACTGGGCAGTGGTGGCACACACTTTTAATCCCAGGACTCTGGAGACAGAGACAGCAGAGGCAGTTGGCTCTCTGAGTTCAAGGCCAACCTGGTCTACAGAGCTAGTTTCAGGACAGCTATTGCTGTTACATAATGTAACCTTACCCTTCCCCCATCCCACCCCACCCCAAAAAAAGCAAAACCAAAAAATATAGGTGGTGATTTTTTTTTTTTCCTGGAAGTAAGCCTGACTAAAAGCCAGTGTCAATGTTGGGTAAATGATGAGGCAGGTTGAAGAGCCACATTCCTTGACAGATATCAGGTGGGTACTGTAAATACTTTGTTCCCTGTGAAAAGCCTAGGTTGCTTCTGAAATACTTGTTAGAAGCTGTTTTAGGACATAGTTTCTTATAAAGCTATTAGTTGGTAGTTGTTTGCTTGAAAGATGGGGTCTCGTGTAGACCAGGCTATTCTGGGTCTTTCTGCCTCTACCTCCTACTCGTTGGGATTAGTAAGTGTGTATTTCCAAGCCCACAGTTCTAGCTCATTAGGATATTTTGATACCTAGTTTCTTGAGACAGTTTCACTTTGTAGCTCAGGCAGACATGGAACACATGATCCTGCCCAGAATACAAGAGCCAGACCTACAGCCTTTTGTGGTTTGTTGTGCTGTGCTGGGGATTGAACCCAGGGCGTGTATACTAGGTAAGCATTCTACCACTTCCCTAGGTCAGAGTACTCTGAAAAAGCTAGAGGCTTGACCATTTTAGAAGCAAAGTGAGTTTTAAGTAGCACCATCTAAAAACCTTTTACTTTCTTTAAAACCCGTGTTCTAGATTTCAGAAATATAGAGGCCTCAAGAGTTTCAGGACATCTCCTTGGGACCCTAAGGAAAACCTTCCTCAAGATTATGCTCGGATTTTTCAGTTTCAGAATTTTATTAATACTAGAAGAAGAATTTTCAAAGAGATTGAGGAAAAAGATGTTGAAGGAGCTGAGGTATCTTGCCTTGTCCACCTTGCCATTTGTTTTTGTTTGGGAACAAATAAGGGACAGAAATGATTAACTGAGAAGGTTGAGTCTGGGTGTTGACATTTTCATGAATGATGAGGCTTGGCATAGACCTGAAGAAAGGTTTCCTCACTACTGGGACATAAGGGTAACCCTGTGCATGTCTTGTGGTTCTTTCTGGCAGGTCGGCTGGTATGTCACAATTCATATCTCTCATGTCCCTGTCTCGGTGGTTGAGCATTTCAGGCAAGGAGCACCCTTGATTGCATTTTCTTTACTACCTTATGAACAGAAGGTAAATCAGTGTTTTGTGGGAAATGGAGAATTACAAATATTTCTGCAAGGTGTACATTTTTTACACATTGGAATGATTGAGGAATCTGAATAGAGAAGTCAATGATGGTTATGCCCAAGATGTCTGAACCTGTCTGAAGCATCTTAGTGATGCAGTCTGTATGGTTCTGAGACTTCACTAAGAATGTCTTTTCAGATCAGAATGGGGTAGCAGTCTTAAAAGTAAATGTTTATGCCAGTGATCTCTTCTCTCTAGGTGGCCAGTAGTCATGCACACTGGGAGTGGGGCAGCTGGTATAAGATTGTGGAGGCTTGGGTGATGGGTTAGGAGGATAAGGATATATGGTGATCAGGTGATGTTAGATGTAGTTTACACGTGTATGGAAGCACTCACTGATAAGGCCTCTATGCACCTGGAGTTTCAGTTGATGGGTAAAAAGAACTACAATGTCATCTGCATGATGTCACTAACTAGCATGTTAGAGTAAAACTGGTGTTTGTTTGGTTTGCCTTTCAGGTTAGGCCATTGTATGCCTAGACTATGAAGCTTTTTCTTATTTGGTCCTCAGATGTCAGTATTGAACATGGTGGTGAGTCGGAACCCTGGCAACACGGAACCTGTGAAGGCCAAAGAAGAACTGATCTTCCATTGTGGATTCAGGCGCTTCCGAGCCTCGCCTTTATTCTCTCAGCACACAGCAGGTTAGCGTGGAAGCTGCTGGGGTCTTTCATGGTTGAAGGCAGAAAGATAGTTTGAAATTCTTAAGTCTCTGGGGTGAGAGAGATTTTCAGTACTCTTGACTTAGGAGCCAATGATGTTTTTATTCAAAATGTCTGAACCTGTCTGAAGCATCCCAGTGATGCGAACTGTGTTGTGCTGAGGCTTCTACTATGCGTATTGTTTCAGAGTTGGTAGCTTTAAGAATAGAAATATGTTTTGTTGCTGGCTTGCTCACGTGGGGCTTCTGAACAGTTCCATAGCTCACTTGCCTTTCAGTGACAGGAGACAGAGATGGTGGCAGCATTACTGTTTTACTAAACAAAGTTTTACTAAAACATGACATGTCTTGTGATTTTATTTTTGTCTTTTGACACAGAGTAAAGAGGGCCTTGAACTCTTTACTCCCATCTCTCCCAGTATTAATTTTTTTATTTTTTGCTTGCTTGTTATTAAGTATTTAACTGTATTGTGTATAATTGTCTTGTACGATTTTTATATATTGAGATTTGAGAGACAAAGTCTTAATATGTAGCTCGAGCTTGCCTTCCTTGACCTTCAGAATGGTGGGAATATAGGGAGGGGTACATCTCCATGCCCAGCTGGCATGGTGTTATAAAGGCACATTGAGTAGCTGGAATAGAAAGTCATTTGGAGCTGGCCAGGTGCTCAGCACTTGTACTTGTTGCTAAACCTGAGCATCTCTGTTCAGGGAGTGCCCTGCATGATGGAAGGGAGGACCTCTGACTTCTGCTCCAGTGCTGTAGTACATGTGCCTCCACACCCCCAAAATAAATAAAATGTATTTAAAAGCTTTTATTATTTTAAGAAAATAATAAATGCCTTGCAGATGAACAGAGCTTTTCTGTTAGCTTACTGTTCTGTACCCAACACAAAAGAGGCTTTCTGGGTAGAAGATGTTTCTGCTGGAGACTGAGTTGCTGCACAGTCAGCCTGAGTAAAAGTTTTGGTTGTAGTGAGATCAGATTACCTGGAGGGCTCTTTCAATGCCAACCGTAGTCTAAGCTCTAATTCTATCTCCAGTTGAAAAATTACTGATGGGACTAGGTTTTATGTTTTAGTTGTATTTATGCAGGGGAAAAAATGAGAGTAGTATAGAGAAACACAAGATGAAGCTGGTAATCCTAGCCCTTGAGAAATATGGAGAAAGGTACACAGTAAGTTCAAAGCCAGCATGCAATACATAAACCTGTCTCTAAATAAAGCAGACTGGAGCTTACAGATGACCTGGTTCAGTTCCCAGTACCTACCACACTGATCAGCTTAGAGGCACCTACACATGCATACCCACATGGATATATATATATATATATATATATATATATATATATATACCCATACCCAGACACATAGTTAAATAAAAACATAATCGTAAACACCGGTGCTTTTGGTTAAGAGTTAAAGTTAGGCTGAGAATATGATGTAGATCTATAGCATTACTATAACTTTAAAAGGTGGGTCTATGTGTGGCAGCAGCAAAGCTTTTGACAGCCTTTACATTGCTTATGGTTTCTCAAGGCTTTTCACTTTTCTTTCTATTTATTTTGGACCCTTACTATGGAAGCTGATAAACATAAATTTCAGAGATTCCTGACTGCTGATGCTGCCTTAGTGGTGACAGTGTTTGCGCCAATCACTTTTCCTCCTGCATCTGTGCTACTTTTCAAGCAGAGAAGCAACGGTATGTTGAATTCTAAATGGTAAATGATAAACCTACGAGGACCATAACTTTTCTGTAATTAGACCTGGGGTCTAACTATATTAAGGTATGCTGGTGGTTTTTCCAAATACCAATTTCAACCTCATTGAGGCTGTAAGTAAGCCCAGGTGATAAGCTAGCTCTTTCCTGTTGGCACACTTGAGTAGAGACTGCTTGGAGTACTATTTTTAAGGTGGGTTTGGGGGACAGGCTCAATAGAAATTTTTTTTATTGGTCTTTTGTGGCCTCAGAAAGGTAACAAACAGTACACTTCTCCGAGAATGTCTCGCATGGGTCTTTAAAATAGATGAGAGCAGTAGCTGAAGGGCGTGTCCTGTAGATTAACTGCTGCTCTCCTTTCATAGGAGTGCACAGCCTCATTGCTACAGGCCACCTGTTATCAGTGGATCCAGACAGGATGGTCATCAAGAGAGTTGTTCTGAGTGGTCATCCGTTCAAAATTTGTACTAAGATGGCAGTGGTGCGTTACATGTTCTTCAACAGAGGTAGGCATGAATCACAAGAGGGATCTGATTCCCTTTGGTGGGAAGACAGGCTTGACGCTGTTTGATTTTGTGTCTGTTCCATTCTAAGAGGATGTGATGTGGTTTAAGCCTGTGGAACTGAGAACCAAGTGGGGCCGCAGGGGACACATCAAGGAGCCTCTAGGTAAGAGTCTGGGAATCCTCAGTGTTACCAAGGGACTATTGGGCTGTAAAGTTCACTGCTTTTATGCCTGCTTTACTTTAACCAATTTGCTGTTTTCCTTCTAGGTACCCATGGCCATATGAAGTGCAGTTTTGATGGGAAGCTAAAATCTCAGGATACAGTATTAATGAATCTCTATAAGCGAGTTTTCCCCAAATGGACTTATGATCCATATGTACCAGAGCCAGTACCGTGGGTGAAAAGTGAGGTCTCCTCAGCAGCATCTGAAGTGGACATGGAATAATTGATTCAGTGGATTCTGTCTGCTGCAGCCAGAACTTAGTGTGGGTTGTGACAAGGCAGTCTGCTTTCTATTTCAGCTGTTTACACTATTACTTGGTCGCCAAATTATAACTCTTACTAAAATATTCTCCATTAGGATTTTGAAAACAATTTTCATCTAGAGACAATTCATGAATTTAAACAGAAATAGTCTGGTAAGGACTTTCAGCCTGCTTCACCCAGTTTAGGGAGGTTAGGTCTACATTCCCACCACTGAGTACAATACAGATGTTCTTCACTTCTGGAGAGACTGTTTGGAAATGCTGGGACAGCACTGCAGCCAATCCAACACCAGCAGTAGGCTCAATGAGCAGTTTCATTCTCTCCCACACCAGTTGGGTTGCATGCTGTTGGCACAGAAAGGAGTAAGGATTGATTAAACAAACAATATAGCAGGTTAAGTTCTGGACACCAAATGAAGTAGATGTGTGGGTTTGTTTCGGTGACTGTGCTTGCTAATAAAGTGCATATACAAGTCAGCCTAGCTCTGTTTGCTGCTGTCAGGGTCCCCATGTGTTAAGTTAATCCTCCGTTCATAAATTTCTTTTGCCTAGGAAGTTAGACTTGCTGTTTTCTCATCACAGTCTTACCTTGATTTCGTCCTCTGTGACAGTGAAGACATCATCCACAAGGTCCCTTATGATAGGCCAAGTATTTAAGCCAATGCTTGATTTGACACCATCTGCTATGGTTTCTGGAGGGTGAAGATTGGGAGTCAGTTCTCCTTTCAGTTTGGACTGGTAGCAGTCATCTGCATTCAAGGGTTCGGCAGCATAGACCTTCACACTAGGTTTCAGGGCCTGGGCAGAGGAACAGAGACTGTACACTGGCAGCTTTGCCTGCATAACTGAAGAAGGCATACTAGATGACACATTTTTCATGTTCCAGAAGGGGCTTTCTTTTGATACCAAAATGGAAATAATGACCTTGAAGCACTTTAATAAAAGTTGTATCTGATAACTGACTTAATTGACTGATTTACAACTGGTTCTAATAATTTGGGGAGAGTAATAGTTTAGTGAGGTGGACTTGGATGCTGCTCATCCTCAATTGCTTTTATGCTGTGCTATCATACATGAAAAGGACAGTGAGGCAAAGGAGGCCACAAAAGAATAGTAATTTGGGGGCATGGTGGGAAACTGTCCACAATGCAGTGTGATACAGGTCCTAATCCAGGAAGTCCTTTTAACAGTTTTCTCACCTTAATTGTAATGGCTATTCCAGCAACCATTCCTCCTCCCCCTACTGGTACCACCAGTGCATCCACCAAAGGAACCTTTAGTAAAAATATAAATAAGCCAATTAATAAAGTTTTATATATGTAAAGCCACTTTTCTATTGGCCAAATGAGATGATGGCATTTTACCTGGTTCAGGACTTCCAGGGCAATTGTCCCTTGTCCAGCTATCACTGCAGGCTCCTGGTTGGGATGGACCAAGATGCCTTCTGTTTCTTGCATAATTCTTTGAGTGACCTTTTCTCTAGACTAGAAGGTAGCATTAATGTAGCTTACTTGACACAGTGAGTCCCCAAAAGTACAATTCGGTCACTTAACACTTCAAAGACAATGGATTTTTCACATTTTCATAAATATGGTATGTCTGAGTGCTTGTGAGAAAAAAATAGATTTTTCTTTGGGTGGCTGAGGGGCTTTAATTATGTGACATGAACAAGCTATGGATCTTTAAAAATGTTTGAAGGTGTTAATGAATGTGAAGTGTACAAGGTAGAATTACCTGGCCTTTTCTGGAGAACTGCTAAGGTAGAGGATAATACAGTAAGAGGTGAGGCAGAAAGACAGCATGGTTAGACCATCCCAAGAACTCTAGTGGCTATGACAGTGCTTAGTGCTTACAAGGCACCTGCACCAGATCAAAACAAAGCCCTTGGCTGAGGAGATGGCTCAGTGGCTGCTCTAGAAGACTTGGGTTCAATTCCCAGCACCTACATGACAGTTCATAACTGTAACTCCAGGGCTGGAGAGATAGCTCAGAGGTTAAGAGCATTGCCTGCTCTTCCAAAGGTCCTGAGTTCAATTCCCAGCAACCACATGGTGGCTCACAACCATCTGTAATGAGGTCTGGTGCCCTCTTCTGGCCTTCAGGTGTACACACAGACAGAACATTGTATACATAATAAATAAATAAATATTAAAAAAAAAATAACTGTAACTCCAGTTTTGCTGAATCCTTAACCCTCATACATGGAGGCAAAAACAAAAATATCAATGCACATAAAAATAAATCATAGCCCGGTGATGGTGGCGCACACCTTTAATCCCAGCACTCAGGAGGCAGAAGCAGGTGGATCTCTGAGTTCGAGGCCAACCTGGACTACAAGAGCTAGAACTGATGCTGGGTGGAACTATGGTGATAATGGTAGGAGCTGTTAAAAGGAATTGGACTGAGCCAGCGGTGGTAGCGCGCCTTTAATCCCAGCACTTGGGAGGCAGAGGCAGGCCTGATCTACAAGAACTAGATCCAGGACAGGCCCCAAAGCTACAGTGAAACCCTGTCTCCAATAACAACAAAAAAAAAAGGAAGGGGGGGCTGGACTGTAAAAGTTCTGGTTTTCTTTTTAAGATTTTTATCACATCTATTCAATTTTGCATATGTGTAGAGGTCAGAGACCTGGGAGTCCTCTGCTAAAGCTGTTTGGGTCCAGGAATTAAACTTGGGTTAAGTTTGGCAGCAGGTGTCTTTGCTTGTTAGCCAGCTTCAAAGCCCCGCCCCCATTTTTTTTTTTTTTTTAATCTGAGAGGACATGTTCTGGATGTGGTGTTTGGGAGTTACCTAAGATTTTTGTTTTTCCTTGAACAACTAGAAAGAGAAGTGATGCTATTTGATGAGGTGAGGAAGACCGGAATGGGGAGAGAGGAGTCAGGTCAGGAATGTGGTGTTAGACAAAATTATTGATGTCCAGGGAGGAAAGTTGGGCTGCTGAAGCATAGGTGAAACATCTTTAAGTATTTAATTTCTGGGACTGGAGAGATGGCTCAGTGGCTAAGAGGACTGACTGCTCTTCCAGAGGACCAGTTTCAGTTCCCAGCACCCACATGACAGCTCACAACTGTAACTCTAGTTCCAGCGTATCTGACACCCTCACACAGACATACATGCAGGCCAGGACACTACTGCACATAAAAAGAAAAATTTAATTTCTGACTGGGCAAGATACATATGACTTTAATTCCAGTACTCTGGAGGCAGAGGCAGATGGATCTCTCTCAGTTCAAAACCATCCTACTTTATATATAGTGAGTTCTAGGATAGCCCTATCTAGACAGACCCTGTCTTAAAGTCTCCCCATCCGTCCACCCATCCGAGGAGACACGGTTTCAAGTAGACCTGCCTGAGGCTAGTCTTAGAATTTGTGTCCAAGGATAACCTTGAACTCCTGATCTTCCCGCCTGTACTTTCCAAGTGCTGAGATTACAGACAAGTAGCAACCATAGCCAGCTGTATTCTTTGAGGAAAAAAACTTACTCTGTAGCTCAGACTGGTCTGGAAGTTGCCATTCTGTGTCCTGAGTGCTAGAATAGACATATGCCACCATGCCTGGCTTTAGTCGCATTATGCTGAGGATGGACAGATGGGGAAAAGGCTGGCCACGCTAAGGCAAAGAGGAAGCTTCCAGTAAGGGAGGCAGATAGCCTGTCAAGTGAAGCTATTAAGTGATGCTGAACACTCCTTACCTCATCACTCTGTTCACTATATACTATAGAGGCCCCATAGGCTTGTATTGCCAGTTTCTTGCAGTTGGGAGCCGTCTGAGGCACCACAATGTAAGCAGGAATCCCTGGGAGGGAAAGAACATGGTTAGACAGTATGAGGTGCTTCTAGGAGAGAAACTTGTATCATTTTGCTTATGAGCAAACAGGAATTCCTTTGGAAACTTATTTTCCATGGCTGTCATCCCTCTTACTATAATTAGGGTAATTTCCCACTCTTTGATACTACTCTGGACCCTGAGAAACTTAGTACCTTCCAGTTTGGCAGCATAGGTGAGAGCCTGGCCATGGTTCCCACTGCTGTGAGTAACAACGGCTTTGGGTTTCCCCTCCAGAGGGTCAGGAATTAAGCCTCTGATGGCATTGAGGGCACCACGGATCTGAAAGAAATGTTGAATTACAAACAGTGTATCATTTTAACAATGGGGACATGTTCAGAGAAATGAATTCACCTGTTTCATTGTGCAAACTGTAGAGGGTATTTACACAAACAGCCTGCCATGCACCCAGGCTATGTGGTAGAGCCTCCTGCTCCCAAGCAATAAACTGAAGCACAGCAAAAATACTGAGCAGGCCGGGTGGTGGCGGCGCATGCACACCAAGTTTACAGAATAGTTTTCACAATAGTAAATTAGCTTATTATAACTGCTTTACTTTGTAAATTAAAAAAATATAGCCGGGCGATGGTGGCGCACGCCTTTAATCCCAGCACTCGGGAGGCAGAGGTAGGCGGATCTCTGTGAGTTCGAGACCAGCCTGGTCTACAGAGCTAGTTCCAGGACAGGCTCCAAAGCCACAGAGAAACCCTGTCTCGAAAAACAAAAACAAACAAAAAAACCCATATATATATATATATATATATATATATATATATATATATATATTTAGCTGAGTGGTGGTGGCGCAAACCTTTAATCCCAGCACTTGGGAGGCAGAGAGAATCTCTTGAGTTTGAGGCCAGCCTGGTCTACAGAGTAAGTTCTAGAACATTCAGGAACACAGTGTGAAACCTCATCTCAAAAAACAAAAACAAACAAAAAACCAAAACTAAATTAAACACAGGGTCTCATGTGGCCCAGGTTGGTACTGAATTTTCTATGTAGCCAAGGACAATCTTATTACTGATTCTTCTGTTTAAAATACACAACTTTGTACAGCTGTACAAAAATACATCCAAGTGTGGTGATGGTGCACACCTTTAACTATTTAGAGACTATTCATGGGACCGGAATTTTAAGGGATTTTAGGTTGTGTGAAATAGACCTAGCAATGTTCTAAATGTTTCCCAGGACGTGGAAACTGCAAAAAGACATTTGTTTACTACCAGCCACCCCGTTAGTGGACAGGAGAAAAAAACCAGATTGGAAAACAAACAAAATGGATTTTTACCTTAAAAGACCCAGTTTTCTGGAAGAGTTCACATTTGAAGAAAAGACTGCGTCCTGCTATTTGGTTCAAAATGGAGCTTGTTAGTACTGGCGTGAGGTGGACAGAATCTCGAATGTTCATATGGGCTTTTTCAACATCAGCAAAGGAGATGCAGTACTGAGCACACATGGTTCTGAAACCCAGGAACAAGACAAGGGGTCAAAGCACAGTCCAAACGATGTTTAAAGAACTGAAACAGGAGCAGAGCCTGGGGGCTGTGGTGCTATGTGGAACTGTGCCCACTACTAGATGCTGGGGTTTCTCTTCAGACAGGAACTTCCTCTTTGCCACGCAAACCTCTTGGTACTGCTACAGATATGCACCTTCATCATTGTATAGCCAGGCCTTGAACGCACAGAGATCCGCCTGCCTCTGCCTGCTTGTGCCTCTACATCTGCTGTTTTGTTTTTGAGAGTTTCACTATGTTGTCCAGACTGGAATAAAACCCAAGAGATCCTCCTGTCACAGCCTTCTGATTGCTGGGACTACTTCTATGTGCCACTGTACCTGGCTTAGATTTTTCAGGTGGCTCAGCAGCTTAAGGCACTTACTGCCAGGCCTGACGACCGAAGTTTGGTCCCCAGAACCCACATGATGGGAGAAGTGACTCCCTCAAGTTGTCTTCAGACCTCCACACAGGTGCCTTGGCATGCATGGCCAACATACACACTCATATGAATAGATCTGGGAGTGGTGGCTCATACCTTTAATCCCAGCACAATGGAGGTAGAGGCAGGTGGATCTCTCTGTAAGTCCAAGGCCAGCTTGGTCTATACAGTACACTTCAGGTTAGCTAGGGTTACATATTGAGACTGAGTAAAAACATGAACAAAAGTTATTTTGAGAAAAAAAAGTTGGTTTTCCCCTTGGTTTTTTGACACAGGGTTTCTGACAGCCCTGGCTGTCCTGGAACTGGCTTTTGTAGATCAGGTTGACCTTGAACTCAGAGATCTGCCTGTTTCTGCCTCCCAAGTGCTATGATTAAAGTCATGCATCCTCGGGCTGGAGAGATGACTCAGAGGTTAAGAGCATTGCCTGCTCTTCCAGAGGTCCTGAGTTCAATTCCCAGCAACCACATGGTGGCTCACAACCATCTGTAATGGGGTCTGGTGCCCTCTTCTGGCCTGCAGGCATACACACAGACAGAATATTGTATACATAATAAATAAGTATATAAATAAATAAATAATCAGCTGGGCGGCGATGACGCATGACTTATTTTTAAGAATATTTATTTATTTACGCATGTCTTTTTTTAAGAATATTTATTTATTTATTATGTATACAATATCTCTCCAGCCCCCGCCCAGCTGATTTTTATTTTTAAAAGATGTATTTTTTTTTTTTTTGGATTTTCGAGACAGGGTTTCTCTGTAGCTTTTGGTTCCTGTCCTGGCACTAGCTCTTGTAGACCAGGCTGGCCTCAAACTCACAGAGATCCACCTGCCTCTGCCTCCCGAGTGCTGGGATTAAAGGCGTGCACCACCACCACCCGGCTAAAAGATGTAAAAATTTTATATGTCGATTTAAATGTATGTTACATGTATATGTGTGCATGTGCCCACTGAGGCCAGTAGATTTCTGGAGCCTGTGCTGAGCTGCCTGCTGCGATTGCTGGGAACTAAACTCAAGTTATCAGGAATGGCAGTGAGCACTCCTAACTCATCAGCCATCTTGTTTTCACTTTTTGGGTGATTCTGCCAGGCTATGATGCTCAAGTTCACACTCCCCTTGCTTCTACCTCCTGATTGCCAAAATTAGCCATGAGCCAATATTTCTGGTTTACAGGTTTTGTTTGTCTTATATAGCCCAGGATGGGCTCAAGCTTGATATGTAGCCAAAGATGACCTGAATTCCTGGTTATTCTGCCTTCATTTTTGAAACGCTAGGATTACAGGCATGTGCCACCAAGCCTGGCTGTATTGTTAATTTTTATTCTTTTGGGAAAGGACCTTGCTTCTATAGCACAGGCTAGTCTGGAACTCACTGAGTAGACCAGGGTGTCCTTTTTTTTTTAAACTTTTTTTTTTATTTATTTAACTTTATTATGTTTGTTGGTGTGAAGGTGTCAGATCTCATGGAACTGCATTTTCAGACAGTTGTGAGCTGCCATGTGGGTGCTGGGAATCGAACCCGGGTCCTCTGGAAGAGCAGTCAGTGCTCTTAACCGCTGAGCCATCTCTCCAGCCCCCAGGGTGTCCTTGAATTTACATCAGTCCTCTTGCTTTGGCCTCCCGATCCCTGGGATTATAGTATGAACCAACCATGCCTGCCTCAGTCCTAGCCTTTTTCACTTTTTATTTAGTTTGGCTTTTGTGAAAGGGTCTCATGTAGCCCAGATTGGCCTCAAATTTGGTATGTAGCAAATAACCTTGAAATCCTAACTGTCCTGCCTCCATCTCCCAAGCACCGAGATTTCAGATTTCAGGCCTACATCATACATCTGGCTTTAGTGCCTTTTTCTTTTCTTTCTTGCCTTTTTTTTTTTTTTTTTTTTGCTTTTTGAGACAGCGTTTCCCTGTTAGCAGCCCTGGCTGTCCTGGAACTAGCTCTGTAGATCAGGCTGGCCTCCAATTCACAGAGATCCGCCTGCCTCTGCCTCCTGAGTGCTGGGATTAAAGGTATATGCCACCACTGTCTGGTGCTTTAGTGCCATTTTAATAAATAATTTTGTATGCTTCAAAAACATATATATTGGGGGCTGGAGAGATGGCTCAGAGGTTAAGAGCACTGACTGCTCTACCGGAGGTCCTGAGTTCAATTCCCAGCAAGCACATGGTGGCTCACAACCATCTGTAATGAGACCTGGTGCCCTCTTCTGGCCTGCAGGCATGGAGGCTGAACACTGTGTACATAATAAATAAATATTTAAAAAAAACATATATATTACCTGACTGTTTTTTTAATATTTATTTATTTATTTATTATGTATACAATATTCTGTCTGTGTGTATGGCCAGAAGAGGGCACCAGACCTCATTACAGATGGTTGTGAGCCACCATGTGGTTGCTGGGAATTGAACTCAGGACCTTTGGAAGAGCAGGCAATGCTTTTAACCACTGAGCCATCTCTCCAGCCCTACCTGACTGTTAAAATCAAACATTTTCTTGCTCCATATGGCTCAGCTTCCTCAGAGTTTCCAAAATTTTATCTAAAGGTGTGCACAGTTCTAAGACATCTGGTATCACTCTAGTGTAGTAACTGTCAGTTTTGACACTGCTGCCAAGATGACTGTATCAGTTCATACAACAGTATCTAAAGGGATTGTCCATTCACTCCGCCTTTTATGTATATATATTTGTTCTTTCTTTTTTAAGGGGTGGGGTGAGGGGAAGAGACAAGGTTTATCTATGCAGCCTTGGCTATCCTGGAACTCACTTTGTTGATCAGACTGGCTTTGATCAGAGATCCGCTTGCCTCTGCCTCCTAAGTGCTGGGATTAAAGGTGTGTACCACCTCTGCTTGGCTTGCTATATTGATGTTTATTAAATTTTATTCCCAAAGTGTATTGGGGTGGGTGCCCATGACATGGCATCAGAGAACAACTTTGGGAGTTGATTCTTTTCTCCTACCATGTGAGTCCTGGGGATTATACTTGGATTGTCAGGCACCTCCAAGAGTCTTTATCCAGCCTGCTATATCATTATTTTTAAATATTTTTATGGTTTATTTAACTTTATTTTATGTGCATTGGTGTAAAGTGTCAGATCCCCTGGAACTGATCTTCAGACAGTTGTGAGCTGCCATGTGGGTGCTGGGAATTGAACCCGGGTCCTCTGGAAGAGCAGTCAGTGCTCTTAACCACTGAGCCATCTCTCCAGCCCCCTGCTATATCATTTTTTAAAAAATATTTTTAGATTTATGTGGATGAATGTTTTACCTTGGTATATGTATGCATACCTCAGGTATGCCCTGTGCCTAGGGAGGCCAGAAGAAATCAGATCCCTGGAACTGGGATTACAGATGGTTGTGAGTTGCCATATGGATACTGGGAATCAAACTAGGTCCTCTGGAAGAACGGCTAGTTTTCTTAACTCCTAAGCCAACTCTCCAGCCCCTACCACAAGATTACTTACTGATAATCTTTTTTTTTTGTTTTTTTTTTTTGTTTTTTTCAAGACAGGGTTTCTCTGTAGCTTTGGAGCCTGTCCTGGAACTAGCTCTTGTAGACCAGGCTGGCCTCGAACTACCAGTGATCCGCCTGCCTCTGCCTCCCGAGTGCTGGGATTAAAGGCGTGCGCCACCACTGCCTGGCACGTACTGATAATCTTATATGATTATGAAGAGTAAGACTTTTGCATGTTTATTATATAATGAGACACTTTAGTAGATTATTTTGTTAGCTTTTAAAGTGTTTTCCCCACTCCCCCATGTAGAAGATGGGATCCAAGAACTCAGGGATCTTCTTTTTAAAAAGATGTATTATGTACGCGCATGGGTATGACTGTGTGAGCTCATGTGCACCACATACATTCTGGAACTGAGCTGCCTCTGTTGCAAGTCCTAGCAGTTCTACAGCTGGTGTCCCTTAACTTTTTATTCTTTCTAACTTCAGATATGGCTTAAGGTAGTTTTTCAAGGAGTATCTTTAAAATTAACTGCTCTTCAGTTCTCAGATCAGCTTCCACAGGAACTGAAGAGTTTCTTTTGGCATGAGTAAGGAAAGGCTTGTGTGGGAAATCCCAGAAGCAATGACAGCTATAGGTCTAGTTCTTCTTCACGCCTTCCAGGCTCTGGCCAGTTCCAGGGCTGAGGGCTCACACAGATACCACACAGAACCTTAGAAACCTTTCATTACATCAGATCCTCTTGGGAAACTCAAAACTGCAAAGATAAACATAGTTCATACAATAATTCCCTGGTGCTGCTTCACGGTCAGAAAATAAGCCCTCAAAACCATCCAAGAAAAATAATAGGGCTATGTGATGGTCCAGCAGTCAACACTAGCTGGTCTTGTAGTGGTCCTGGGTTCAGTTCCCAGCACCCACACTGTCTGTAACTGCAGTTCTAGAAGATCCAAGATCCTCCTCTTCTGACCTCCTCAGACACCAGGTACATGCAAGGCAAAACACTCATACACATGGGATAAAATAAAACATGAAATCTATTCTTGGTGTGGTAATTACAAAGTGAGACTCTATCTCAGGGAAAAAACAATGAAGAACACTAAATATTGTGGGCCCATGAGATGATTATAGCCCCTCATGCAAGTGCAGGTCAATACATTCCTGGACAGTTCTGCCCTTGAAACAGCCCTGCTGCTGTTGAGCAAGGCTACATTACTTAAGACACTCTTCCTTGTATGCTTTTTTCCTGTTTTTATTTGTTTTTTTTTTTCCTTTAAAGACAGAGTCTTGGGTAGCTTACAATGCCCTGAAACTTGGTATGTAGTAGCTCCAGGATGACCATGGACTGCTGACGATCCTGCCTCTACTTCTTCTTCTTTTTTCCCCCTCGAGACAGGGTTTGTGTTGCCCTGGCTGTCCTGGACCTAGCTTTGTAGACTAGGCTGGTCTTGAACTCAAGAGACTCACCTGCCTTTGCCTCCCGAGTGCCGGTATTAAAGGCATGTACCACCACTGCCCGGCCCTGCCTCTACTTAAGTACTAGGATTACAGATGTATAGGATTACACTCAGCTTTTAATATTTATTTATTTATTTATTATGTATACAATATTCTGTCTGTGTGTATGCCTGCAGGCCAGAAAAGGGCACCGGACCCCATTACAGATGGTTGTGAGCCACCATGTGGTTGCTGGAAATTGAACTCAGGACCTCTGGAAGAGCAGGCAATGCTCTTAACCTCTGAGCCATCTCTCCAGCCCCCAGCTTTTAATTTTTTAAGGGCTGTGGAATACTATACTCTGATCAGGTAAGTGCCATGTTAGGATACATATATATGTAATAAAATTTTGCAATTTTGGACACAGGTTCTTACTATGTAGACTAAACTGGCTTTGATGTTAATTCATGATCATTTTGGCTCCGTCTTCCAAGGCATAGGGTCACAGGGATATACCCCGTTTTCAGAAAACCACTCACTACTGCATACAGTGAAAAGGAAAGGGACAAAAATTTAACCAAGGAGCCCAATACAGAGGAATTTCAGTACACAGGAGAGGCAAAGGAGGAGTGAATGGCAAAAGCAGAGAGAGAAAAAAATCCTTTTATGGAAACACAAACTTTAAGGGACTAAAGATGTCCTTCAGATACGGTCTTGCCTAGTAGCATGAGGGCAGCCCTGGGTTTGATCCCCAGCTCTGCACAAAACAAGGTGATAGAGCAAGTTAGTATCAGGTGAAGGCAGGAGGATAAGAAGTTCAAAGTCGGGGCTGGAGAGATGGCTCAGAGGGTAAGAGCATTGCCTGCTCTTCCAAAGGTCCTGAGTTCAATTCCCAGCAACCACATGGTGGCTCACAACCACCTGTAATGAGGTCTGGTGCCCTCTTCTGGCCTGCAGGCATACACACAGACAGAATATTGTATACATAATAAATAAAAAAAAAAAAAGAAAGTTCAAAGTCATCTTTGGGCTACCCTGTGAGTTTCAGGCCAGCCTATGCTACCATGAGTACTGTATCAAAACATAAAAACCTAAAAAACCCTGAAAGCTCCCTAGATAAGATATATAAATGGCCAATGACCACATTAAAATACCCAGAATCACAAATCATCAGAAACATGCAAATCAAAACTCCAGTGGGCACCACCTCTAACCATAGCATTAGGCCAGAGCAGATAGAAGTGGGAAAACAGGTGTACCGGTCCGAATAGAGTAATCAGGGTGTTATGGGAGACACTACACTAGTTCCTAAAAACAATGGACATACACTATCACCTGAACCAGTAATTCCACCCCTCGAGGTAGATCAAAGAACCAAAAGCTGTGTTTCATCAAGGTGTATCAGAGGCCCAGACTTTTGCACAAATGACTCCATAATGGAATTACCATTTAGGCTGTAAAACACAGCATGTATTCAGGACTGCCTGCCAACACTAAAACAAAGGCCTACTCCATCAAAGTCCATAGTGATGGGAAAGTCTCTACAACTACTGCCTCTGTAGTTCTGCTTCAGCTAACTGTTCTTCTTACCTGAAGTATGTCTACCCAGAGCTTAAAAGCTCACCCTAAAGAAGGCTCAGTGCTACACTGGGATCCAAACACCCAGTGTAGTTACAGACCAGCTAATAAGGACTTTTCGTTGGCTTAAACCCATGCCTAATCGTCTTCTCTGGTGAATACCCCATAACCAAGGAGATTTCTGCACTCCCATATTCATAGCTACATTATTTATAAGAACCAAAAGAAGCCTATGGCCACTAACATACAAATGTCCATGCATATGCAATTTGCACATAAAATGTAAGTCATATTTAATAGGAGGAAATTCTGACATGTTGTAACACAGATGGACACTGAGAACATTATGCTAAGAGAAATAGGCTATTTGCAAACACTACATGATTCCAATGATGTGGGATACCTATAGTAAGAAAATTCAAAGAAAGGGTAGTAGATGGGCTGAGTTTAGGACGGTGGAGGGCTGTTTAATAGGTATAAATGGGTTTGGGTATGTAACAGGATACATTAAACAACAAAAAGCACACACTCAGAAAATGGTTAAATGGTACATTTTATGTATATTTTATCACAATTGAAACAAACTGAAAATAAGAGGTAACAGCAGTTATACTTAGGCCTATTGGTTGTGATGACTAATTTCCCTTGTTAACTTGATTTTGCCAGAATCAACTAAAACCCAAGCAGCTGGGCATGCGTGGCAAAGGTTTTCTTGATTGGAACATTTGAGGTGAGACAACCTATCCTAAATCTGGGTCACACCTTTGGTGGGAGCCCACAGAAAGACATGGAAGAGGGAAACATCTGCTATTTGCCTGCTTGCGCTCACTCTTGCTGGCAAGTTCATCTACCCTACTGCTGAGGCATTCTTTTGTGGGTATTGGAGCCAGCCTCTTCAGGATTCCAACTTAGTGTGGACTAAATATTACCATGTACTTGGTTTTTCTGACAAGACATAGCCACTGTGGGATTAGCCACTTCAGCCTACCAGGGACTCTAATGCATATCCTTTATGCACACACATATTTCATTCTTTCAGTTCTGTTCCTTGGCGACCCTGACTGACAAATTTGCAAGTGAGAGAGCCTCAGTCTGAAGCAGCTTAGGCAGAGGATGAGGGCTTCCGGGTTCACTGGCTCATGGAATCTGAGGAAGGGCTGGGCACACCACGGAGGGGATATGGAGCTTCAGCAACAACTGCAACCTGGGGCTTGGGAGCTTCCATGAGTCTCAGTTTCTCACCTCTGCTGCCTTTGGCATGTCGGCTTCCTTTTCACAGCAGACCAGCTGGTTCCGCACAACAGGACACATGGCTGCTGACAGTTCCTGTGTTTTACATTTTATGGCTTCCACACTGAAGAGGGATTTTCTCTCACTTTCAGTTCAAAAAATTCTGGGTAAGGACTTTGACTGGCCCATCTTGGCCCAGGACCAATGTGGCAAAGGGTGAAAGGTCATTTAGGAAATACTATGTAATAGAAGTAATTTATGGAAACATGAAAAAGAAACAGAATGAGATCTATAACACAATATCAATTATGTACATTTAAAATACATACATAAAACATTATATATTATGCAAAGATACATGTATATTTAAAGACATCTGTCAAGCACATTAAAGCCACTCAAGAAGAAGTGATGAAGAATGACTGGGTACTAAAGTGAACAAAAAAGGTAAAACGAGAAAGATCTTGTTAATGACAGTGAACAAAATAGTGATCACCTCAAGTCTCTGTTTCTGATGGAAAACAGAAGTGTAAGAGGGAACGAAGGAGGGAAAAACAAAACCAAACTCCCAGGTAGGCATTACAGGCAGTTTTCAGAAGAAAAAGGGAGCGAGCTGGAGAGATGGCTGCCAACTCTGGCACACACATGGTGGAGGGAGAACCAACACCTGCAGTTATCCTCTAACTTCCACATGTGAGCTCAGACACAATAAATAACGTAATTAAATTTTTGCTGGGATGTAGCAGTGGCTACCTCGGAACTCATTATATAGGCCAGGTTATTCTGGAACTCGGAGAGATCTGCCTGCCTCTGTATTCCAGATGCTGGGATTGAAGAGGTGAACAGCCACACCCACACCCAGTTCTTCCTTCTTTCTTTCTTTCTTTCTTTCTTTCTTTCTTTCAAGATTTATTTATTTATTATGTATAGTGTTCTGCCTACATGTAGCCTTGCAGACCAGAAGAGGGCACCAGATCTCACTGTAGATGGTTGTGAGCCACCATGTGGTTGCTGGGAATTGAACTCTGGAACTCTGGAAGAACAGTCAGTGCTCTTAACCCCTGCCCCATCTCTCCAGCCCCCTTCTTTTCTTTTCTTTCGTTTTCTTGTGTGTGTGTGTGTGTGTGTGTGTGTGTGTGATGTCCTACCCACTAGGAACTGGAGTTATAGACAGTTGTGAGTCACGTTATATAGGTGATGGGAACTGAACTTAAGTCCTTCGAAGAGGAAAAGTGCTCTTAACCACTGAGCCATATTTCCAGCCCATTATTTAAACAGGCTTTTGGGACTCTATTCCTTATACTGGGTTGCCTTGCCCAGCCTTAATACAAGGTGAGGGGCTTAGTCTTACTACAACTTGATAAGCCTTGTTTTGTCAATATCCATGGGAGGGCTGTCCTTTTCTCAATAGAAATGGAGGAGTGGATTGGGGGAGGCAGAGGGGTGGTGGGAATGGGGGACTGGGAAGAGAGGAGGGAGGAGAAACTGTGGTCAGGATGTAAAATTGTCCATGGGTGTTCGTGTGCACAGATGCACTCATGTGCACAAGAGTGGGAGTGAACCCTGAATGAACCCTAGGTAGGTATTATCCCTCAGCAGTTTATTTACCTCGGCTATAGGGTTTTTTTTTTCTTTTTAAAAAAAAGTTACCTTGGGCTGGAGAGATGGCTCAGTGGTTAAGAGCATTGCCTGCTCTTCCAAAGGTCCTGAGTTCAATTCCCGGCAACCACATGGTGGCTCACAACCATCTGTAATGAGGTCTGGTGCCCTCTTCTGGCCTGCAGGAATACACGCAGACAGAATATTGTACACATAATAAATAAATAATTTTTTTTTAAAAAGGTTACCTTTTATTTTATTTGTATGAATGCTCTATTTGCGTGTATGCCTTTATTCCAGAAGAGGGCATCAGATTCCATGATAGGTGGTTGTGAACCACCATGTAGTTACTGGGAATTGAACTCATGACCTCTGGAAGAGCAACCAGTGCTCTTAACTGCTGATCCATCTCTTCAGCCCCCTATAGCTCATTTATTTGGTTTTTTTCTTCTTAGCACATAGTTTTTCACTGGGAACAGAGGCTTACTGATTAAAGCTAGCTGGCCAGTGAGCCTCAGAGTTCAGCTGTCTCTATCTCCCCTGAACTTTCATTACAAACCTATGAGATCATTCATTCTTAGCTTTTTAAGTGGGTGTTGACGGTTGAACTCAGGTTCATATGAACCTCTGGAAAAGCAGGCAGTGTTCATAACTGCTGAGTCTTCTTTCTGGCCTCTACTTTTTCTGAGAGGAGGTCTTGCTATGTTTTTCAGGCTGGACTTTGAACTGGGTAAGTGATGCTTCTGCAGTCACCAGTTTCCCAACTAGCTGGGACTACACACACATTACAATACCTGGCCTATTTACTTCTTTGTTCTGTGAGCTATTTAATTTTTCTTTAGATTACAAGTGGCTAGAATTCTTTGCCTAATTTGTAGTCATTAACTTTGGTTTTATGTAATTTGTACAATTCTAACTGTGTGTGGTGTATGCATGAACTGTGTATGTGGAGACCAAAGGCTGAAGTTGGCATCTTTCTCTACTGCTCTCTATTTCTTAATTGCCAACATTTACTAATTTATCTTGTATGTATCTATGTGGCGCAAGTATGCAACAGCACATGTACAGAGGTCAGAGGACAACATGGGGGAGTTGGTTTCCTCCTACCATGTAGGTTTGGGGATCAAATTCATCAGACTTGGTGGCAAAGCACCTTTATATGCTTGAGTCAGCTTGTTAGTGACTATGTTCTTTAAAAGTAAAAAAATAGTTTATTTGTCTATTTCTGTGTATATGCGTTCTCTCCTTCTATTATGTAAGTTTCAGGAATTAAACTCACGTTGTCAGGCTTGGAGGCAAAAGCCATTTTGCCAGTAACCACTTTTTTTTTTTTTTTTTTTTTTTTTGAGACAAGGTCTCTCACTGTCCCGGAAGCCTGCCAGTTTGGCTGAACTTGCTGGCCAGCAAGCCTCTAAGATGCACCCGTCTCCACTTCCCAGCACTGGGATTGCATGTGTGCAACCATCATGCCTGGCTTTTACATGGGTTCTGAGGATCTGAACTCAGGCCCTCATGATTGTTCAGCAATTATTCATTGAAACATCTCTCCTGCCTCCAACTTTAACTTCTAAAAACTGAATTTCTTCGTCTTCTATTATCTGAATCTGCTTTACTGTTTTTGTATTACCTACATATTATGTGACTAAATCCCCATTTTAAGAATTAAAACATTACAGATACATATAGAGTTTCAAATCGTCTGCTGTCAGAGCACCTGTTCTCTACTTTGAGTATCTGGCATATAGTCCACCTTTTTCTTGATGAACAAATACAGAAATTTACATAACCATAAAATTGTTTTTGCAAGGGATGGAGAGATGGCTCAGCGGTTAAGAACACTGACTGGTCTTCCAGAGGTCTTGAGTTCAATTCCCAGCAACCATCTATAATGAGATCTGGTGCCCTCTTCTGGGCTACAGGCAGGATACTGTATAAATAATAAATAAATACATCTTAAAAAAAATTGTTGCTGGGCGGTGGTGGCGCACACCTTTAATCCCAGCACTTGGGAGGCAGAGGCAGGCGGATCTCTGTGAGTTTGAGACCAGCCTGGTCTACAAGAGCTAGTTCCAGGACAGGCTCCAAAAACACAGAGAAACCCTGTCTCGAAAAACAAAAAAAAAAAAAAAAATTGTTTTTGCTACACATAGATAGAACTATAATATATATTGGTCTATAAATAGCTGCGCTCTCTCTCCCTCTCTCTCTCTCTCTCTCTCTCCAGATTCCTAATCTGTAGTTCAGGCTGGCTGGCTTTGAGCTCACAGAGATGTTTGCCTCTGCCCTGCTTCCCTAGTGTTGGGACTAAAGGCATGCACATACATGCCCCAGCCTCCCACTTTTTAAAAATTGTATTTTGAGCCTTGGTCTTCCTACATTACGGGCTTTGAGGATGGAACTCTCTTGCCGTGGTGTTTTGAGTAGCTAGGATTACAGTCATTGGCCACCAAGCTAGGAGTCTTACTCATTGTTTTACCAGATACTTCATGAGTCCTCTAAAACTAAAAATTCAAAATTTCCCCATCAATTTAGTAGCTTTTCAGCCAAGTGGTGGTGCACGCCTTTAATCCCAGCACTCAGGAGGCAGAGACAGAAGCAGGAGGACAGCCTTGTCTGAAGAGTGAGTTCTAGGACAGTCAAAGCTATACAGAGGAATCCTGTCTCAAAAAACAAAACAAACAAACAGAAAAAAGTAGCTTTATTTCTGTAAGTTGACTGTTACTCTTAGTCAGCTACCATAATTTGGAACTTGTATTATTAATTTTTTGGACCCATGCTCATAATCACTCATCCTTATGTATTTGTTGTGTTTTCCCTGAGTTCAGGTAAATTTCTCTGAGTTTTGATTTAATACTTAGAGGCTCTCTAGTCTGATCACTGACAGTATCAAATTAAATTGGCCATGGTTGTCCTAGAGAAGTTTTCTTCTTTTAAATTATTTTTCCTTTTTTTTTATTTTTAACAATAAAAGTTGTGGGGCTGAAAGGATTGCTCAGCGGTTAAGAACAAGTATGGCTCTTGTGGAGGACTGGACTTCAGTTCCCAGAACCCACATCAGGTAGCTCATCACTGCCGGTAACTAGCTTCAGAGGGAATCCAATGCCTCTTGTCTTCCTCAGGCACCTGTACTCATGTGGATGTATGCACACAAAGACACATACATACTAATTAAAAGTGAGACAAATCTTTAAAAAAAAACCCATCATGACTTAAAGACTAGAAAATAAATAAATGAATAAATAAATAAGAGTTGGGGCTCAGGATATAATTCAGTCAGTAGGATGCTTGTTCAACCTGTATCAGGCCCTGGTTCAATCCCAGAACAACATTAACCTGACACATCAACATAGGACCACATCTGTAATCCCATTTTGTAGGAGATGCAAACAAGAGTGTGTTAGAAATTCAAGGTTTTCCTTGGCTACATGATGACTTCAAGACCAGCCTGGAAACAACAGACCTTGCCTCGATAAAAGTAAACAAAAGCAAACAATTTTCATACTGAAGCCTTCAACTGGAAAGTAGATTGCTTGCCCTCACCCCCCCATATTGGCTTTCAACTGGATTTGCAGTCAAAGATGACCTTGAGCCTGGCGGTGGTGGCGCGTGCCTTTAATCCCAGCACTCGGGAGGCAGAGGCAGGCGGATCTCTGTGAGTTCGAGACCAGCCTGGTCTACAGAGCTAGTTCCAGGACAGGCTCCAAAGCCACAGAGAAACCCTGTCTCGAAAAAACAAAACAAAACAAAACAAAAAAAAAGATGACCTTGAATTTCTAATCTTTCTCCTTGTACTTTTCTTTTTTTTAATATTTATTTATTTATTATGGATACAATATTCTGTCCGTGTGTATATCTGCAGGCCAGAAGAGGGCACCAGACCTCATTCCAGATGGTTGTGAGCCACCATGTGGTTGCTGAGAATTGAACTCAGGACCTTTGGAAGAGCAGGCAATGCTCTTAACCACTGAGCCATCTCTCCAGCCCCTCCTTGTACTTTTCAATTGCTGGGATTACAGGCTTTTGCCACAACATCCAGTATATGTGGCATTAGGGATGCTTTTCTCAATTTCTTTCTTTCTTTTTTTTTTTTTGGTTTGGTATCATGTAATCCAGGCTGGCCAAGGATGACCTTAAACTCTGGATTCTTGATAGTGTTACCTGTACCTTGAGTATGTGTATAGCCTAGGCTAGTCTGGAACTCTTGTATCTTCCTGCCTTAGCATCCAAAGTCATGGAGTTAGAGATGTGTGATACCATAACAGTTTCAAGTTAGGGTTTTAAATTTTTTTCCCTGTTGTTTTTAGACAGGTCTTACTACATAGCTCTAGCTGGCCTCATTTATGTAGATCAAGCTGGCTTTCAACGTGAAGAGATCCTCCTGCCTCTGTATCCTTGGTGCTAGGCGTGTGTCACCATGTCTGGCTTATGTTCTGGAGACAGGGTCTCATGTATTTTGGTTTGGTCTTGAACTCAATGGTGCCACCACAGCACCGAACTTTGCTCTTCCTCCCAAGTGCTAGAGTTACAGGCATGTACCATCACGCAGGATCTCAATTCTATTTCTCTACAATCTTTGGGCAAAGGCTGCAATTTGCTCTGGCCATTCGAATTATATACCCCTTCTTTTGAGCTATTGAAATATTTCCCCGTCATTGTCTTTCTTTTCTGATGGCAAAGTATCTGTCACATAACAGGAACTAATTGAGTTTTATCAGGATCAAATCTTTTATACTGTGATCAGGGAATAACTGGTTCCTATTTTTTGAGGGTCTAAAGTTGTAATGAAGGAGCAACAGCTGGAGAGGTAGCCTTTGAGAAGGAAGCTTCTCCCCCTCAGACTTTAATAGGAGTTAATGGTCAGTGAGGCTAAATAAAGTACCAATCTTCTGGTCTGATTATTTTTTTGTTTCTTTTTTTGGGACAAAGTCTTCTAATATGTTACCCTGACTGGCCTCAAATGTACTATATTGTCCAGGCTGGCCTTGAACTTGCAATCCTCCTGCCTCAGCTTCTCAAATACCAAGCCTCAGTGAATATTTAAAGCCGTAAAGATGAGCGTGGGGAGAATAAATATGAGTTCCAAAAGAGTAATTAAATTTTTTTCAGTGATACAGAAATTCCCAGATCGAATGATAATTTCCTTCTGTTCTACTTCCACACAACCTCCTCCAACAAGTCTTGGTGACGAACTCGGTCATGGACTTTGATACTCTAGAACAACCAATTGTTACACAAGGCAATTCTTCTATTCTCTGAGATTCAGTTTATCAGAAATAGGGACAATAATAAGAATCATTATTAAAAGATCTTTAAGCTCCACAATTCAGGCTTATGATAAGGAGACTTTGGCCTAAAATGATCGGAGGCCGAATTATAGGGTGTCTCTGTGAACCCGAGCCCTAGACCAAAATCGGTGTCGTCTGTAGCCACCACAACAATACCGATATCCCTAGGAGCGAAAGCCCATCTGGCATGGGCGAGCCGTACCGGCCCTCGCCTCACCTCACCTCCCGGGCGCTGCACCTCCACCTCCAAGCCTCAGCGTACCTTCCAGCGTTACACCTCTGCGCAAGCGCACGCGCACACGCTGTCTCTACGGCCTGAATAACCCTAATTGAACGAGCTGAATGCTTTTGCTCCCAGTGCGGCCACCGTCGTTTAGGGAGGGCGACAGGAGGGGGCGGGGAAAAGGGTGGGAGTGGGTGAGCGCGCGCCGCCCGTCCGTCGTGGTTTCCTGGCTGCGCGCGGCGGTGGCGGAGTCGCAGCAGCTGTAGCAGCCGCCGCGAAGATGGCGGAGGGGTTGGAGCGTGTGCGGATCTCCGCGTCCGAGCTGCGAGGGATCCTGGCCACTCTGGCTCCGCAGGCCGGGAGCAAAGGTGAGTTGCGCCGCCCAGCTGCTGGGCCGGGCCTGCCCGCCCCGCCTCCCTCTCCTCTGCCTCCTCCCCGCCCCGTCCGCGGCTCTGCGAGCTCCCGCCCCTTCCCCCCCCAACAGGGCGCCCCGGGGCCTGGGGCGGCCCCTCGGAGCTTGTGGGGCTGCTCCTCCGCACACTCGGGCCTTGGGGCAGAGCCCTGCCCGAGTTCCTGCCTCCGCCCTCTTGCTCACCGCGGCGGCCTTGGTTGTTCCTCCGCGCCCTAGCCCTCTCTCGCCGGCTCCTGGATTCAGTCGTGAGGAGACACGAACTGGTGTGGGTGCTGGGGTCCGGTAGAGGCCCCGGGACGTACGGCTCCCTGAAGAATCGACTGTGTACCTTTCGTAGTCCTCTGTTCCGCGTCTGAGAGGAGGAGCTGGGGAAATTGAGGAGAAAAGCTTAACAGGCTGGGACTTCCCTTGCTCAACTTTTCCTCCCGAAGGCAGGCTTCCAATGGTACGCCACTGAAGGGATCCAGGACCTCAAGGAGCTGACTCTGTTTTGTTTCGGGCTTGGCGTGTATGGGGGCCGTTCTGGTCAGAAAGAATGCTTCATTTGCCAATCTCCATACGCATCAGAAAAGTGCGAGAAATTTGTTAGTGTCTCACTTCCCTTCATTAGTCAGTGTTGTTTAGGATGGCTGCTAACAGTGGATGCCTTCTCTAGGGTTGTGGCTAGAATCTGTGAGGTTAGTTTTCTTTGGCCAACTGAATTGGATTGAACCTGGTTGTTTTCTCTCACGGCTCTGGAAAATAGCAGTCACCTCCTCCCCTGGCTCCGCCCCCAAACTGAGTTTTAAAGTTTACCGTGGGTGCTGAAGTTAAACGGCTTTTTCTTGGTTCGTTATTTGGTGGAGGGGCTAAACTTTTTGCCAAAGCAGTAGTTTCGTTCTTTGTTGTTTTTCTTTTGAGACCAAGCCTTCAACTTACCGAGTAACCCAGTCTGGACTTGGGTTTGGAATGCTCCTGATTCAGCCTCCTGAGTGCTGGAATTACAGGCGTGACTACCACACCTAACTTTCAAAGTAGTCACTAAAATTTCAGTTTCCCGTCATTTTTCTTTCTCTCCTCTCTCTTCCCCTACTAACAAAAGTGGGTGTAGATGCTGGAGCATAAATACCTGCTGTCAGCTAGTTTGTGTTTATATTATAGTTAGGTTCTAGGATTTAACTTGAGCACTGGATAATCTCACCATTTCTTGTCATTTTCTTATTAAACGTTTAGTAATTATTTATAGTACTCTCTCCACTCCAAGCAACAGATACTTTAAAAAAAACAACAAACCCAGAAACTTGTTTACCATTCAGTAAGTTCGTGGAGCTTGGAGAGTGGTTTATAAAACTCCTCTACTATTGTTCTTTTCTTTTTCCTTTGTTTTTTGAGTCAGGATCTCTCATGTAGCCCAAGTAGTTACCAAACTCTTTGTGGCTAAGGATGACCTTGAACTCCTGATCTTGCTCTCACTTCTCAAGTGTTAGGATTTGTAGGCATGAATTTGGCTGGGCTCTAGTATTTTTGAGTCCCTTAGTCCTTTTTGGTGCTTTGAGAGCATGTCACAATCCTTCCTCTAATGGAACTTTTTCCTCCTTATATTCCATCATCATAGTAGCAGTTAGTCTCAGTATTCTAGGCAGTATTTTCTTGAAATGATTCTGCTGGTTGTTGTTAAAGAATTGGTGAGAATGAGTGGAGATGAAGATTGTAAAAGGACTTGCTTCCTGTTTGCTTCAGTAGGAGGTATGTGGTTGGGATATTGGTATCCTAAAGTTGTAGATTTGCCCTGATCAAGTTCACGCACTCGAGTTGTAGATTCTTTCCCAGAGATACCTAGAACTGTGGGTTGTTATGCATACCCCTTTGAATATGTGTACGTATGTGTAAATATTTGTTACATATGTAATGTAGTAAGTAAATATGTGATATAATATATACCAGTTAATATATTTATGCAATGCTAGGGGTTCCTACTGGCCTCCTAGGCAAATGCTGTACCACTGAGCTATATTCCCTTCCCTCTCCTAATATGGTAAAAAAATTTAGCCACTCTAGGAACATGGAGGAAAGACGAAACCAGGTGTGATTGATTATACACTCCTGCAATCCCAGAAGTTGAATGATTGAGGCAGGAGGATTGTGAGTTTGATACCTTTCTGGGCTATGAAGTGAGACCCTGACCAAAAAAAAAAAAAAAGAAAGAAAAAAGAAAGAAAGAAAGAGTTGACTTATAACATATTAATATTCTCTTCACTTACCCAAGCCATACTCATATTCAGATCTCAAAGACTCCAAACTACTTAATTAAATCAGAATCAAATATCTCTAGCATGTTCAGCCATTAAACTATCCTGTCTATATATCCTATAAGTCAACTCTTAGTTAAATTCTTAGTCTCACTGGTTAACGAGCACATAACTCGAATTTTCGGCCGTAGAATCATTCTTCCCTGCCCAGTATTTTGTATTTGCATTTGTAATTGTTAGTCTTTTTTTTTTTTTCCTTTGGTTTTTCAAGACAGGGTTTCACTGTGTAGCCCTGGCTGGTCTGGAACTCACTCTGTGGAATAGGCTGGCCTCAAATTCACAAAGATCCATCTGCCTCTGCCTTCCGATTGCTGGGACTAAAAGCATGCGCCACTACTGTCCGGCTCTTTTTTGTTGTTGTTTTTATGTAAGTAGAATGACAACTTTTCCTCCCTCTCTTCTCCATTTTCTTTTCTTCTGTGTTGTTTCCTGCTATCAACATATTAGAAAACATGAAGGAATTAAAGGAACCCAGGCAACGCAAAGATAATAGGCGCCCAGATTTGGAAATCTATAAACCTGGACTTTCTCGACTAAGGAACAGACCTAAAACTAAGGAGGCTTCTGGGAGTGAGGAATTTAAGGATGAGATTGTGAATGACGGAGATTCCTCTGTTGGGAATGATACACAGCTTATTAAAGTTTGCAAGGAATTGGACAGCCAACAGCAAAATGGTCCTACAGATTCAGAAAATCGTCAGGCACAGGAGACTTTCTCAAAGACTGGTGGACTAGAGGACCGGAATCTAAGAATCATCAAGAGAATAAAAAAACCTGACCTTCAGATCTATCAGCCTGGAAGGCGTTTGCAGGCTGTAACCAAAGAGTCAGCTAACAGGGCAGATGAGGAAGAAATCCTTAACCAAGTGGAAAAATTGAGGATTGAGGAGGATGAGTGTAAGGGAAAAGTTGCAAAAGCAGAAGTTGAGAATAAACCAGACAAAACTGAGACAGAAAAGAACCAAGCTAATGACCGAGTAAGAACTACCAAGGGGGAAAAAGGAAAAAAGATTGAAAAGGGGGAGGGGACAAAGAAGGTGAATGATGATGACTCTGCTCAAGGGAAACCAGGTTCTGTAAAGCGGTATTCCCGCTCAGACAAACGAAGGAATCGCTACCGCACTTGCAGTACCAGCTCAGCTGGTAGCAACAACAGTGCTGAGGGAGCTGGCCTGACTGATAATGGATGTCGCCGGCGGCGCTTGGATCGGACCAAGGAGAGGCCACGACTGAAGAAGCAGGTGTCTATGTCCTCAACTGATTCATTAGATGAGGATAGAACTGATGAGCCCGATGGATTAGGGCCCAGGAGGAACTCAGAAAGGAAGAGGCATTTAGAAAGAAATTGGTCTGGCCGAGGCGAGGGTGAACAGAAAAGCAATGGCAAAGAAAACCGAGGCACCCTTCGAGTCACTTTTGATGCAGAAACCATGAATAAAGATTTCCCCATGGTGAGGTTAGCCAGGGAGAATGTGGAAAGAATACAGTCTGACAAAGGCCTGAGCAGTGGGGGCAAGGGCTCTGAGAAGCAGGAGTTCAAAAACCCGAAACAAGAACTTCGAGGTCGTGGTAGAGGCATTCTGATTCTGCCCGCTCATACTGCCCTATCTGTCAGTTCAGCGGGTTCTCCAGAGTCTACACCTTTGGGACCACGGCTTTTATTTGGATCTGGTAGTAAAGGATCTCGTAGTTGGGGTCGCGGAGGCACTACCCGCCGACTATGGGACCCAAACAATCCTGATCAGAAGCCTGCTCTGAAAAGCCAGACACCTCAGCTACATTTCTTGGACACTGATGATGAAATCAGCCCTACATCTTGGGGTGATTCACGTCAAGCCCAAGCTTCTTACTATAAATTTCAAAACTCTGACAACCCCTATTACTACCCTCGGACACCGGGCCCTACCTCTCAGTATCCCTATACAGGCTATAGCCCTCTACAGTACCCAGTGGGCCCTGCAAATGGTATGTATCCAGGGCCTTACTACCCAGGCTATCCTGCCCCCTCAGGGCAGTATGTATGTAGTCCTCTCCCTGCCAGCACCATGAGTCCTGAGGAGATAGAGCAACACGTGCGGAACATGCAGCAACAGGAGCTACATAGGCTTCTCCGAGTGGCTGACAACCAGGAATTGCAGCTTAGCAACTTGCTCTCCAGGGACCGCATCAGTACTGAGGGCATGGAGAAGATGGCTCAGCTCAGGTATTGTGTGTAATTACCTTGTTTAGAGGGGGGTAGACAGCTGTAAGGCTCCTGTGGCTGAGGAAGGTAGAGACTTCGTAGGTAAGCCACTGAGTGCTACCTCCCTTTCACTTGGGCATGGACATTAGGCCCTGAGCCTTGTG